CACACACACACACACACACCCCATTTCCCTCTGAGATCTATCAGAATATTTAGTATCAGGGTAGAAAAGCTTTTCTGAGCATGACTTAAAAACCCATAAGCCATAAAGTGAAGAGTAGTAATTTCAACTACATTAAGGCTAAGAACTTCTGGGTGGAGAAGGATGCTATATACAAAGTTGAAACATAAACAACAAGCTAGGAGAAAGTATTTGTTACATGGATATCAGGCAAAGGTTTCTATTTGTCTGTATCTATATTGTCTCCTGGAAATCAATAAGAAAAAAGGTGTGGAACCCATTTAAAATGGAGAAATAACATGATTTGAAAATTCAGGGAAGAAATAGATAATTAGCTAATGAATGAGAAAGAATGTTCAAGCTTACTGAAGCCAAAGAAATGTAACTAAAACAACAATGAAGCGTCAATTTGGAAGGGCTAAAATTTAAAATATTGAAAGGGCTGAAACCGGTTTGGCTCAGTGGATAGAGCGTCGGCCTGCGGACTGTAAGGTCCCGGCTTTGATTCCGGTCAAGGGCATGTACCTGGCTGGGTTGCGGGCACATCCCCAGTAGGAAATGTGCAGGAGGCAGCTAATCGATGTTTCTCTCCCATCGATGTTTCTAACTCTCTATATCTCTCCCTTCCTCTCTGTAAAAACTCAATAAAATATATTTTAAAAAAAAAATAAAATAAAATATTGAAAGGGTTGTGAGGAAAAAGAACTTCTCACCTTGATTGGAATGCAAACTGGTACCATTGTTTTAATGGGACAATTTTATTAGTTGCTACCAAAATCCTAAATGTCATATACTTCCAAGCTAGGAACCATGTCTTAAAGCTAGATTTCTCTAAGGTTTTACTACTGTATGGACCCAAATTTGGCTAGCAGAGAGAGGCCTTTCCTGAAATACCTCAATTCCAACTGCAACTCTAAGCCATACTTTATCATAACCCTTATAGGATAGCATTCTCAACCAACTCTTTTTAATTAAAAAAAAATGTTTTTCTATTGATTTTGAGAGAGGAAGGGAGAGGAAGAGAAAGATAGAAACATCAATGATGAGAGAGCACACCCCCTCTCCCCACTGCCACTGGGGATTGAGCTGCAGCCAGGCATGTGCCCTGACCAGAAATTGAACTGTGACCTATTGGTTCATGGGAAAACGCTCAACCACTGAGCTACACCAGCTGGGCTTAACCAACTCTTAATGAAAAGCTTGTATGACATATGCTTCTCAAGATAAAAACTGGCTTGTATTAGCAGGAATACTCTATTTGTATTTAGTCTGTAAAAGTGTTAAAGCAACAGAAATAACTTTTTATCTACATTTTAAACAAAATGTTCATTCCTTTGGCCCAGCAATTCAATGTTTAGGAACCTATCCTTCAAAACTACTTCCAGACATATGCAAAGATAGTCATTGCAGCATTGCTTGTAATAGCGAAAAATTAAAACAACCTGAATGTCCATCACTAAGGAACAGCTTTTCCTTCATGATCCATCCATATTATGGATTACTCTTTAGCAGATCAAAAGAAAAAGATATATCTCAATATACTGGCATGGAAAGACCTCCAAGATTTATTATTATATGAAAAAAGCAAGTTGCAGAACAGGGCTTATAGTATGTTCCCATTCTTGTAAGGAAAACAAAATCCCCATAACAATGATAGCATGTTATATGCACCCTGTCACAATTTC